GCCAGTACTGATTATGCCCTTCATTGTACCCTTGCTTGCCAACAGCCCTTCACTCATCTGGCAATGATTCGTGAGAGGTCTGTGACCAGTTTCAGCTCTAACCATGCAGGCAAGGAAGACCTGCTGAAGGCAATGTCATCTTCTGCTCTTAGATATTTATTGTTTCTTTGATGGACAGTTTGTTATCACCACAGAATTTCTTCTAGCTTTATTTCTGAGCTAGACAGAGATGATATGAATTTTTCCTCCCCTATGCCAGTTTAGATGAATTCACAAGAGCTGACCAAGCCTCATTAAAATAGGAATGCCTTTTAGGTTTAAGCTCAGCACAATAATTGCCCTAGCATTAAAACCTTTGCCAATTGAGGAGAAACTGGAAGAAGAAACAGCTTCTTCCTCAACTCCCACGGGTCATAAGAGAAAAACAAGCAATACAGGTCCAGCACTTGTTTCGTACCAGATAGCCATGATGTTTTTCACATCAACTTTGCTGCTTAGCTCAGCAGAGAGCAGTGGCACTAATAAAATCAAGGCAGGTATTGCAGTTGCCTTGGGGTCAGCTATGCCTTCAGTCTTTTTGGGGGGAGTGTGGGGGAGAACAAATACAAATAAGTCCTTGACTTATGACCACAATTGAGCTCAAAATTTCTGTTGCTAAGTGAAACATTTGTGGACTCAATTTTGCCCCATTTTACCACAGCTGCTAAGTAAATCACTGCGGTTGTTACAATAGTAACGCAGTTGTTAAGTGAATCTGACTTCCCCATTGACTTTGCTCATTAGAAGGTCAGAAAAGGTGATCCCGTGACCTTGGGACACTTTGTCATAAATATGAGTCAGTTGCCAAGTGTCTGAATTTTGATCACATGACCATGGGGATGTTGCAATGGTCATAAGTGTGAAAAACATAAGTCACCATTGTAAGTATGAATGGTCACTAAATGAACTGCTATAAGTTGAGGACTTATAACATGGTCATCATCTGCAGGATCAAGTGTGCCCCATACAGGAACCAAGGCTCTTGCCTAGGACATGATGGTGTGGGGTGGGGGAAGGGGGGCTGACCAGTGAAAGAGGGCTGCTGGCAAGTATAGCAGCCTCAACATATACTGTGAAAAGCAACCACCAGAATAGTAAAGATCTGTCGAAAACTTTTTGTTGCTGTCTGGTGGTCATCTAGATTCTTGGAGTCTCCAGCTGCTGACCACAGAAGAGACAGTTCTGCCAGCACCTATTTATCACCCAGAGACAGCCCTTGAGTGCTGTCATTGCTGTGGTTCCTCTTTGAGACTGGCTTTTATCTCCATGCTCCAGGTAGAAAAGCTTTTGAAATCCCACCTGAGAAATTTGCCATGCAACCCAGAGAGCTTTATTTCCCCCAACCATCTAGAAGAGAGAGATTTCCTCCTTCAATAGGTGCACAGATGCATCACATATATGTGGTTGTGCAGGAAAAATATATTTAAATAAATAAATAAGAAGACTAGAGGCAATGTGTGTGGGCACACACCCCCAAAAGAAAACCACTGCCTGACTATCAAGAAAATATACAAAGCAGAAATGGCTGATATGGAAACTATTTTCCCTGAAACGGGAGGGTTACACACACTGGGGGATTGAGTGATTCCTTGGTTTCCCTTAGCTATTTTGCTTTGCACCTTAACACCCAGTCCCTTCTTTTGCCTGCATCAAGGAGCTTTACTGATTTACATAGTTTGTAACAACATTTTTTGCCACTGGACTTTTTTTGCCATCATCACTGGCACAGATGATATTGCCTACTTTGGGTAATAAAATGTCTGCAAGAAAACAACCAAGCTCAGAGAGCACGAAGAACCCCTCATTTCAACCCTGAGCTACCAATATTCTCCCTTATTAGTTTCTGGTTTTTTGTGATAGTTTGGCTCTCTGTAGTGGGTCATTTTTGGGGAGCTCATAAATAAGTTGTTTAGACAGTACACAACCTCTCATTACAATCACCTCTACAGGAAACCAAAAATCTACATGTATGTGATTGCTTATGATTCCTAAGCATCTGTGTAAATCTAATAACACTTCGATGTCTGTTCCACCTTTTTATGAATTCTTTGATGTACCTTTGTATGATGACTTCAGCTATTTCTTAGAAAAAATATAATTCTGTACAGACTTCTAAAAAGCAAATCTGCTGTTAGGGGAGTCACAGTGTACTTCATAACACACTCCTGCAGTAAACAAGAGAGAGCTATTTTCAATTCAGTAGACATGTACTGTGAGGTCTGCTGCTAGAAAAAAAACCTATTGTGCATTTAGTTCAGGGAATTTACAGGAATAAATTTAAGAGTGAGGAAGAGTTGCTTGTCACATCGGTCTCCTTTATCTGCATGAAAATGATCCATTTGCCTTAGCAAATGTGGTATGGATATATTAGTTTTGTCTCATAAGATCTGTTTGTGCACGTGTTTGAATTAGGACAGTTATAGAGTTGGTATTCAGCAGGTTCTGGCCAGTTCTGAAGAACCGGTAGCAGAAATTTTGAGTAGTTCGGAGAACTGGCAAATACCACCTCTGACTGGAGATTTTACAGTATCCTTTCCCTGCCACAGCCACAGAACTGGTCCACCACTGGACAGTTAAGCATACTTTACACAATGGGTAGTTTTAACATTAAGTGATTGGTTTTATATGGCATGCCATGTGTACCCAGGCCATTTACTTTGTTTATAGTTCAGGACTCTGTGAAAGCAGAAAATGGGTTAATTCAAAAGTCAGCTTAAATGTGTTAGTCGAATGCAGTCAATTCTTGGCTGGCATGTGGTTAGTGACAAGCTAAGCTTAGCAAAAAAACAGAAGTACAGATGGGTTCAAGAAGATAAGAAGTGGTCTCATATGGTATTTCTGCAGAGGCTAGGTGGCCACCCATGGGGGATACTGCCGCTGCAAAACCCCTATCTTGAACCAAGAATGGAGAAAATGCCCTCTATAACCCCTAAGATTTTATCTTGGGTATTTTAGGAAAATTTTAGGAATTTTGAAATGTTGCCAGGATATAAACAGTCAGACCTTCCCCCACTGTGAAACAAAGAACTCTCATTTATCACAGGAACAAAGGTCCTTGCCACTTGAAAGCATGAATGTGAGTCACAGACTGAGTCAATTTAATATTGTTTATTACATTTATGCCACTTGCTTGTTTGTTCCTGGGATGTACAGACTCTCATGTTTGCGTCCAACAATGTTATGAGGAAAGAGGGAGGGCAAAAGTTAGTGACTTTAGGGCAGGAGGAGACAGGCTTGAACTTTTGTCCTTTCAGTTGTAGCCTAGCAGTATACAAAAATTGATTAAACATTAAGTAAATAATGCCTCAAGTCGAGTTCAACTCCCAGCAAGTACAAATTAGCACCTATTAAAAACATAAAGTATAGAAGGGAATGAAAAATAAGAATCCAAGATAGAACCTTTTAAGACAATTTAGTATCTTTGAAATATATAATTTCCCCCATATGTATTCCATAGTTAACTTATTCCTTTCAAACCATCTCTTACAAATTGTCATCATTTTCTTGCAAGGTTGTTCTGCGGGTTAAGTGCCTCTGAAAATTATGTAGCACTTGTGCTGGACTTCATCTGACAAAAGAATAACGTTGTTCAGCAGCAATCATTTTAACATGGTTGGTTTGAATTGGGTTAACCCACTATTTGAACGAGCCATATTTGTTTGTAAAACAAGTTTTATAGCTCAGTATATTGTATGAACCCAGTCAACTGTGGTTACTGTTAAACCTTTGTTCATTGCGTGAATCTAGCTGTGGAGTAGAATGTAGATTAAATTGTATAATATAGTATTGGGTTGTGACTGGGAAGATCTAGCTCTAGAACTATCACACTATCACACAATTCATGGCTGTTGTGGTGAAGCATATATTCTGGTTCATATCCTCCAACCCCTTCTCTTAGTCTCCTGACACAGCCAATCCCCTTTCCCAGCCAGTTGTCAGCAAGGTGTTCTGATAAATGCCTCTTGTTCCAATTCTTTATGAGTAAGTTACTATTATATTTTAAAATGGGAAATCAATTCCTCCTCTTTGTTCAAGGGGAAATTATGCACATTATATATAGTTTTCAAAAGCCACACAGCTATCAGGAAGCCAAGAAACATTTTCTATATCTCTTTATAGTCACCTAGTGGTCAACTGGATTTTTGTAGGCCACATATAGTATTTTTTTAATGTTCTCACAATGGAAAATCTTGGAAATGGAAAATCGTATGACTGGGCCATGGCAGTGAAATGGCCCTCAATGCATTAGTTTTTAACAAGAAATTCAAACAAAGTTCATGCATGTTATTTTGTATTGATTTTCATTCATTCAAGAGCAACATGTGAGAAAAAAATAAATGGGTAGCTGTAGTAGAAACAAACATTTGAATAAAAAAAGATAATTTGGCATATCCCTTTCTATAATTCTTTTAATAAGACAGAATTGAATTTGTTCTGTTTATATATTCCAACTACTATTAACCACTTCTAACAGCCAAATGTCCTAAAAGACAGCTGCTTTTCCTTGGAGCCTTTCTCCTCCCATCCTTTCGGATTAGGGTAATCCTTCAGCAACACTCAGCAATTATCATCCCAGGCTATTTCACAACCTCATTATTGTCAAGAAAAAAATAATGGGAGACTCTTATGTTGTTGTTTTTTTTTCTTTTGGGCTCCCTAAAGGGAAACCAATGCATAAATTGAAATAAACTTGCCTGTCAATGTAGGGAATCTACTTTGGAATAACCTGATAGGTAGTTGTCCATGTTCTGCTTAGAAGCCTTCTAGAATATTTCCAATGTTTCAAGTTCTAAGAAAATATACCATCCATAATGAGTATTTCCTGGGTGCCCAAGTAAGCAAATGAGCAGCAAGGGCGGCTGGTGATACAATTAAACAATGGTACAAAAAGTGGATCCCAGTAAGTGAGAATCTTTCCATGAGAGAGTTGGCAAATAACTTCTTCATGCATCTTTTTCCAGAACACTCACAGATCTTCTAAAGCAGCCTGGACATAGCTCATCTGATCACTTGCCTGATGGCCATATCAGCAGTGTGCAGGTCCAGATTGGTGATGGCCTTTCTCGGGGATCTCCCTCAAGTAACAAAGGTAAGATAATCTGCCACCTCACCTCCATGCATTCACATATGCACACACACCCATGTCTACATCTCTTCTAGACAATAAGTAGTCTGAAAAGGGAATGCTATCCCTATGCTTATACTATGCTATCCCTGCCTGCCACCTCACTATACCAAGTTGATAAATGGAACATTGTGGAACTTTAGCTGTTTTTATTTAGTTGATATATGACAACTTTTTCCAACCTGGCAGGCTCCAGATATGTTTACAGTGTTATTTCCAGACAACAAAGCCACACTGACTTTGAATTCTGGAAATAGCCATTTCAACATACCAAAGCAAGTGGCTTAAGCTTTTATAGTTCATCCACAATACATTAGTTGTATTGTTTGCCTTCTTGTTTGGTTGGCATATCCACAAGTAAATAAGTAAACTTTAGAAATACTTACCAAAGTGTGTTGTTAGGGAAGACTTTGCCGTAGTTGTGTACCTTAAATCATTCAGATATTCTGGAGCAGCAGAAAATGGGTCTTTCCTGCAGAGACATGCAGCCTATTATCATGAGAGAAGGTAACCAAGCCAGTCTCCATTCATCCATGGAGGGCTCTTTCTGCTGGTATGAAACAAATTTTAGTCAAAAGATCCAATCTGTCCAAATAATACATGCTTAAAATTTCTATCTTGCCAATACATGGATGAGGATGTGCCTTCTTATTTACACTATACAAAAAGGGGTCGTATGCTACTATTTCTTCGGCATTCTTACGCAATTCTATGTTGGGCAGAGCTGTCTCTTCCTTTCTCATTTGCCCATGGTATTTAAGTGCCAATTTCTGATTTCCTTCCACTGCCCTCTGCCCATCATCTCTGACTATGGCAAAACTTCAGATGCGTGTTACTTGTTTGAGGAGCTGGCAAATGTAATATAAACATTTAAGGTGGGCTATTTAAATTTACACTTGCCAACCTTTTTTGCCTTCAGATCAGAAACACCTGAACAATGCTGTGATCAACTCCTCCACAGTCTCACAGATTGGGCTGTCACACTCACATAACAATCAGCTGCAAATGACAAGTATTTTGCCTAACCAGGCTTCAGATTATGCCAAATATGCCACCCTCAAGGCTGTAGGTAGGTGCCATTGTGTTTGCATGCTTATTGACATAGCATTGACAAGAACTGTGGTGACGCAGTGGTTAGAATGCAGTACTGCAAGCTACTTCTGCTGACTGTCAGCTGCAAGCAGTTCAACAGTTCAATTCTCACTTGCTCAAGGTTGATTCAGCCTTCCATCCTTCCAAGAACAGTAAAATGAGGACCCAGATTGTTGGGGGCAATATGCTGACTCTGTAAATCACTTAGAGAGGACTGTATAGCGCTGTGAAGTGGTATATAAGTCTAAGTGCTATTGGTATTGGAATATTTGGACCAAATTCAGTGAGAATCAGAACACTGCCAGTGTTTGGGGCTGAAGCTTCCTCTTTTCATGCTCGCTCACCCCCATTGCAGTGCACCAGATGACATCACCTCATTGTTGTTGACATTCCACTCTGCTGGGTTGTAGCTTCTGAATTTCACTAATGTCAGACAGGATTAGATGAGGTGGGAAGGAATAGACAACCCTGATTACAGGGGAAGAAAAAAAACCAGCTAGAACTAAAAATGTAACTATTTTAGAGACATGAAAAAGGCTTGAACAGGGCAAAGAGTGTGTGTGCCTCTTAGCCTTCTGCAGTGGGGGTGTTTTGAATACCCAGGAAATGACTAAGAGGTGTTCCCAATTATACATTAATGTTTATTAACTGCTCTTTAACACATATTAATCACTACATTATGCACCTGTACATGTGGGTTTTCACCTCCCTCTTTGGGTAAGTTTTACACATATTAAACAATGAGTGGCTAAGCTGTGGCATGCCTGCCATGAATAGCTGAGGCTGTAGCTGCTGTCATATTTCTGGAAATAAGTTGAAACACTTAATTATTGGTTAAATTAATTATAACAGTCTTAACCCTCTTCTGACACTAACAAAAGAGGCAAAGAAAGGGTTGAGATGCTAGGGAGGGTAGCCATCAGGAAAGCTACTAGAATCTTTATCAGCTTAATAATTGTTTTTCCTTCCCTCCCCTACCCACACCCATATATTCCCCTATAGAAAGTGCCCCAGAAGAATTCTATAAGAGATTTCCCATGGTGGAGATGCCATCATCAGGCACCTTGTCATTTTCTCCCCTAACGCTTCATCGAAATGATCTCCCACCTTTTCCAGAAGGCACTGCTCTCATTGGCTTGGGGACACCAGGACAGAAAACTAAAGTGATGAAAACCAATGCAGGCAGCCCTGTCTTCAAAGGGGGCTGGGATCACAGCCATCCTGAATTTCGACGACAAGCTTATGCCACCAGGCGTCAGTTCAGTATTGAGAAGCTGCCTGAGGTCTTCAGCCAAACCCCCACTCATTATGTGCAGCAACAACGGCTTTTTTCCACTAATAGCAAGACTGAGGTCACTGTCTAGAATGGATTATTTGTTCATTCCTATATTCTTTCCTTTGAAGCAATTGGTGAAGTGGGGCCTGACAGCTTGGAATGAAGTTGCTTCCTTCAATGTGTCACTCCTAGACTCTGGAAGGAAACATAGAAGATATAGAGAAAAGTAGAATGCTTGCCAGTGTTGATGATAATCTACAATTGTAACAGAACTCATCTGTTCAATTAGGCCAATTTGACAAAACCTTGTTAGCATGCTTGGTGAAACCAGCATGGCTATACTACCCTATTGCTTAATGCACTGCTGTTGTTTCCTAATTCACTTTTTCATCATATCATACCAGAATCATCAATACCAAGAGAAAGCCTTCAAGACTTTATTACTGCATGGAACTGCATCAAAAGAGGGAATATGATTCTGCCCTCCCCATTACCACAGGGATCTAACAAAAGACAAAAATAACTCATGCAATAATTAACTGCTACCTTGTGTTTGGACATTCACTCTATATTATATTACTTCTCAAATTTCTATGTGTTGGTATTTGTATATAAATATTCTATACAATGAACATGGTTTGCATTCCCTTAATATTATGGGTCTCATATTTAAGTGGATGACTTTAGAATAGGGCTTTGAAATTCCCAGCCTCTGGCCGGATGCATCACATGCTGGCCACACCCACAGCCCGTTTAGCGAAGGGGAAAAAAGTCCCAATAAGTCATGTGACACCGCCATGACGACATGAGTTTGACATCCCTGCTTTAGAGGGTTGAAAAGATCTGGGCAGAACATAAGGTATAATTGCCACCAGATTATGAGATTCATGTAAAGTATTTAACATCATCATAATGGCATCTTGTTAAATCACAAAAGGCATGTGTGTGATCATGTAAAGAAACATTTGTGAACCTATATTTGTAACATCATAAGTCATTCCCCATTGCCCATATGTAAACATTTCTTTATTAGCTGTAGAGTAACAAATTCAAAACACTGATATTCCAGCCACTATACTTCACTTTATATCACATTTCACTCTGGCTCTTTTCATTGAGCCTTTTTTCAAGATCTCTGGATCACCAGATCAGATACAATATGCTCCACCAGTTGATGTGTAATTGGAATTGTAGTCATATTCTGATGCATCTTCTAACATGGAAGAAAATCTTTTTAAATTGAGTCCCTACTATTAAAATATACAAATGCTGATTTTCCCTGAGATGCAGCCTAAGCGCACTTGTGGTATATACCAACTAAGTGCAGCAGTAGCACTCTGATTTAAATTCATCCACTGCTCTGCTTCTGAATAATATTCCAAGCTCTGACTAAAAACAGACACGTCACTAGAACTTTACTTCATCACATGATTAAATGATTGTGGATGTCCAATTTCTTTCCAAATGACAAAACATCACCTCATAGTTTCACAATATAACTGCTATTTTAGAATGATTGATACCTGGAATTTTTTAATTTGTATTTTAATTTGTATTTTAGACTATGCTGCTGGATAGGTATGTCATCTGTGTGACACAATAATGTCTTCTGATTATTATTATTATTATTATTATTATTATTATTATTATCCGTTTTATAGTTTTGTATGTTAATAATTCTAAATCATGTATACAATTGTATCAAAATCCTGTTCAGCAATTAATATAAAGCCAGAATTGGCAACTCCTTCAAATAACTATCAACAAACTGAGATAAAAATTTCTAACAAATTAAACTTCCATGCAGACCAAGTGATATGGAGACCAGAGGTGGTATTCAGCAGGTTCTGATCAGTTCTGGAGAACCAATAGTGGAAATTTTGAGTAGTTTGGAGAACTGGCGAATACCACCTCTGACTGGAGATTTTATAGTATCCTTCCCCTGCCATGCCCACCAAGCCATGCCCACAGAACCGGTAGTAAAAAAACTTGAATCCCACCACTGATGGAGACCACATCATCAGCATTAGCTCTATCAGCAATTGGAAATGGGGGGCGTGTAGAAGCAAAGGTGGCCACGTGTCAGTTGATCACAACTTCTGAGACACTCTTCGGCCATGTAGAATCTAGTCTGCTTTTCTTAAGAGCAAAGAAAGGCACTGAAACACGATTCACCTGCTAGACCAAACCTGTCCATTCATGAAAAATGAACTGGGGAGAGAAGTTAAGCAGAGATATATATTGTTCCCTGCCCAACCCCCAGCCCCGTTTAATATGGTAGAACTAGCATTAAATAGTCATAAGCGAAAATTCCAGAAAGGGCGTAAATATATTTGGAGATGAATGGCAAGGGCTTGGCAGCTTGCAACAGTAATAAAATGTAACAGAAATAAACCACAGTAAATTCTACCACAATCCATGACAACATAATGAAATAGAAAATAAATACTAAAGGTAAATTAATGTAAATTATGGTGGAAAGCAATCAATTCCCAAATGCCCTACAGAAGAGTTCATTAACTGCCTTCCAGCCATGGGTATCAATCTAAGTTTTAGGTGGAGACGGTTCCATAGAACGAGTTCAGTGAGAGAAAATCTTTATTTCCTGGCTTCAACTAATAGCTTTTTCTGGGAGGATCACTCTGACAGATTGGCTCATGGATTAGGTCGTCCTGTAAATAAATCATTACTGTAATTATATGTACTACTGTGTGAATCAACAACTTTGACTTAATTCTGGCTTTGATAGTTAAAAAACATTCTGACTTATCTCAAAGGTTTTTGCACAGAACCTCTTAATAGACAGAAAGGAGGGAGAATAAAGGGGTCTTTGTAGGTTCAGAAGATCTTCAACTTTATGAAGTAATTGTTTGCAGTCAGTTTAACAATCATTACAATTTGTTCTTTCCTGGGCAAACATTAGTTTATGGTTGAACCAAGCATTAAGATGTGGAGTTTTACATAAGATATAGGAAATAGTTTATAATATATATTATCTAATTTGTAAGGAAGTCTCATTTTATGCCCATCAGAGAAAGTAATTTCTATTAAATTGACTCCCCCAACTTTCTTCTTTTCTTGGCCTACAGTGTCCTTGCTGGATAGCCCAGGAATAAGCTTAGAAATAAAGGAGATGAAGGATTAGCTAAACACACATGGATTTTAAAAAATTGTTTTAAAAACTTACGAACATTTCATTGTAGTCTCAGACCAAAATGCAAATTAAAGCACAGTTGTAAAAAAATAGTTTAATAGAAATATGTAATCAAAGTGAGTATTCTGATACTTTTTAAAACTAATAATTACATGACTGATTCTGATCTTGTAAAGATTACAACCACAATTTTGCAGTTTACTAAGTAGCTTTGAAATTCAAAAGCCACCTGGTAGCTCAGATTTTTTTTTTCACAAGGAGTCTGAATAAAATATACAAGGTAAGGAACCTGTATATTTTTTTAAATTGCTCACCTGATTGTATTCAAGTTCTTAAAAAATCCATTAATACTTAAGGTGGGTAAGGATAAATGGATAAAATTTTGAAATTTGGATTAGGGTATTTCATATTTCTATATATCTTCTATAACTACAAAATCAGAATCGTGTACACCATGGCATTCTTTGGCTTACACAATTATATGACATTCTATGGAAGTGAAAGTTGGACTTTAATAAGCAGGCTAGGAAGAGTATTTTTATGCTTTTGAGCTTTGGTGTTGAAGACTTCTCTGGTAACTGTTGTTTGCCTAAAAAGTGAGGAATGTGATTAAAAGACCACGATATGAATGTTTCTCGACCTCTGAATGTAATATATAATTTCCACACCGCACAGGTATGCAGCAAACCAGGTGGAACATACCAAAATTAGAAGAATGACAAGTGTTTTATCAGCTACAATCAGCTGTTGCCAGAGCACTTCTTTTCTTCTTTTTCCAAAGGGTTTTGTAATCCCTTTTTCCTTAATTATGAACATCATTGTTGGTAATTGTAGATTTTATTTTGCGACAGATAAAAGTGTCATACATTGCTTTTTTTTTTTTTTTAAGGAATTGCATAGTCCTGGACAAACCATTTCTTAAAGTTACAGTAAAGCAGCTTGGTGTTCAAATGCCTGAAGTATCAGAATAAATATTTTCATATAAATTAAATAACTTTCTAAATTGTAGTTCTAGAGCAGTGAGTTATTATAACAGAGGAGGTTATTACCTTGGAGGTCTTTGAGTCCAAACCGCTGCTCAGGCAGGAAGGCCTATACCATTTCAGACAAACCTCTTCTTTAAAACCTCCAGTTTTGAACACCCACAATTTCTGGAGGCAAGTCATTCCACTGATTAATTATTTTAACTGTCAGGACTTTTCTCCTTAGTTCTAGGTTGATTTTCTCCTTGATTAGTTTCCATCCATTATATTGCTTGTTTGAGAAGCTTTTTATATAGAGAAGCCCCTCATAAACAGATGTTAACTAATAAAGCAACTGAAGTCCTTCCTGTTTAGGTTTCATTTTAATGTGATTGTTGCTAATCTTCATTATGGTTTCCTATGAAATCTGTTCTTTAATTAGTCTAAAAGACTGCAATTGTTTTATATTCCATTTTTATAACTTTAAGGCACATTTTAGATGAGTTTACAGAGCATGTAATATATTATATATAACAATCCCCGTTAATAGAAATGTTCATTTTTTTCAAGGGAGACTTTTAGCTTCTTTGTCAGTCTCTATCCTTCCCACACTTCCATTTCTCCCAATCAAATTGACATATACTAGATATTATTTTTGTGTTTTATTTATTCTCCTAAAAGAACATAAATCCAGCAAGGAAGTGGGAAATATGTGATTAAATAGGCAAGGCCACCAATAGGCATTGGCAAGAGTTACAGTAAGGAACATTTGTACAGAGAAACTTCCTATATGCCAGATGCCCATATGTTAGCAAATGTTCTCAGAGACAACATAGATTCCTAGCAGCATGTTGAGAATGTTGAATGGTGGTTCTATCGAATATATTTTGCTGTGGCATTTCTGCCCTCTGCTGGTCAAATAGAAGTAAAATACAGGAAAAAAAAATCCTTCTATGCAATCTCTCTCTCTCTCTCTCTCTCTCTCTCTCTGTGTGTGTGTGTGTGTGTGTGTGGATAGATAGATAGATAGATAGACAGACATATACACGTACAGAGAACAAGGAGGTCAGTATTAAGGTTGGCTCATCTTTATAATTTCCTCTTGATGCTTTTGAATAAAACAAGTCATTTACACCATTTCCAAACTATAACTAAAACACAGGGAAGGTCCTCAGCTCCCCTATCCTTGCTTAAGTATGTTGGAAAATTAGTCTTGACATAAAATTCCAATAACCAAGATGAATCAGTAAAAATAAATTTGAAGTTTAGTAGGCAAAAAAAGTTCTCTCTCACATTTCAAACTATTTCATTTAAGATCCAGAGACTTCATACCAGTATTATGTGGTCCTATTTATAGGCAATAAGCAATGTGGGCGTGGGGGGGATGTTGGAAGTTTTCTTAGCACATAATCCTTAAGAATTGTCATATATAAAGGTAAAGTCAATTTTTTTCTTATTCCAACAAGTTGGCTACAATAAAGGACCATTTTATACTTGTGTTTCTCAACTTCAGCAAGTTTAGTATTTTGGACTTCAACTCCCAGAATTTTCCAGCCACCACCCTGAAGTCCACAAACCTTTTAAGTTGCTAAGTTTGAGAAACATTTCATCAGACAGTATTCCTAAGCAGTGATACATTACAGAAGAGGAAGAGAGTACTACTTGCATTATATAACTATTCTAAAACAAATATCACATTTATCAAAAAGATAGACCTGATTTTAAGATAGTACCTCAGCACAGACCAAAAAAGGTAGAAATGGCAAAAAAAGGTTCAACTCCTGTACAGTGTACTTACCATACGTGTCAAGTTACCATTGCAAATTCTAAAAATTCTCCTCCTACCCAATAAATGCTTCCATGTGCTACACCTATATAAGTGTGTACGTTTATGTGTATATTGTGTATGTATCTATTTCTCACTTTGCTAAAACCATACCTCCAAAAAACCAGGGAGGGATTAGGAAAAAGTACATATGAATGTGAGGATTGTTTTCCAAGAACTGCACTAGAAGGTAACTGGACACAATGTTTTATGGTAGCCACCACCTTCCATAAAAATAGGCTAGTGCCCTGGGTTAATTCCATCCTCCTGTTTTGCAAGTCGTTTTGAAATGAGATGGGCGGCAAATAAATTTAATCTATCTAAAGTCAATGAAAGTATATAATTAAATCTTGTAAAAGTCTTAAGTTGCAAGCGGCATACAATCTTTCCCTCCCTCTAAAGGTTCTTGCATTTGTGGAACTAGGTCCTGCCTCACCATGATGGCTCCTGTTCTGGTTGCAGCCAAGCTCCTAAGCAGTGTTGCTACTGAGCACTGCAGCCGAGGTCCCAAGCCAAACCCCAGACAGGAATCACACCACAACAGGTTGTTTACCATAGATTGTATTCCTGGAAGTTGACTTGACATCCCTCTTGCTTACCTATAATGGTTATAAAAGCCTGAATCTGCCTTCCCTCTTCCTCATCTGCTTGCTGTCCTTCTCCTTCTCCTATTTTCTCCTACACATCCACATTTTGTGGGTTGAGGGTCTGGATGAGGTCAGGCTGCCCATGGATGTCAGCATGATCCTAAAAAATGTCAGGGTGTGGCTCAATTAGCCAGCCAGCTAGAACTCCAGCGTGGGTGCTTGTGAGTGGACCGTTTTCCACAGCAAACTATGAATTTGTATGAGGGAGAAATGAGCCCAGCTGCTTTTCTCAAGTGCAGACAGCAACTTTAGTTTCGCTCCTCTCTTTCTCATAATTAATTATAACTAAACTGAGTTACTTGTTAATAAGGACATTTTACAAAATTAATGATTCTTATATGTATGAGCCAATCACTCTTATACACACATACAGAGAAACATATAAATATATACAGCATGTATATACACATACATGCTTTCTCCTGCTAGCAGAAACAACAAATAGAAAAGAAAATGAGGGAAAAGGGAGGGAAAAATAGGAACTGAGCTAGTTAGAACTGAGATGAAGATTAGAGCCAGAAACAACTGGACAGACAAAGAAATAAATTCACCAGATTAACAGCCCCTACATAATTAATAGCTAAGCTTCAAAGGTATCCATGCTTTGCAGAAGTAATGCCACTTGCATCTCTGATGTCTGTTCATCTTAGTTAGTATAAAATTACCTTTCACTTCAAACCCACAATACTTTATAATGTATTGGCAATCAGGTTTATGCATTTTTGTCATAGTTCTTCCAACTATTTTTGGTTCCAAATCCTTCAGAATGGTTGAAAAAAAAATAAAGTCCATCCCTAGGCACCACAGCATTCTGAAGTTGCCTAGAATCACTATTATTTATACATTGCAATCAGTGGACAAATACCTTTTGTGGGAAACAGTTTTAGACATGTTGTTTTCTATATAACTCATTTTAAAGACAGTTTGTTAACAATATCAGACCCTGAGTTAAATTTTGTCTTTATTAGATAAATTACATAATGATCCATACCAAAAGGTCACAACTGGGAATAACAGAGACCCTCATCTCGTGACATCACCACCTGCTACATCTTCATGTATCAAAGCATCTCTATTTCTAATTTTATTGGGATAAAAAGACACTTTTCATATCATATAAAAACAGAAAAGTTACCATTATATACACAAAACATATATAGGGCAAGATTAGGAGGAACAGTTCCATAAATACATGAAGTGTATAAAACTGCCAAAAATATGCGAGAAGGTAGATTTCTTTGTAGAGATCACATCTATGCAATTGTAATTTAAAGAAGACAGTAACCTCATTCTTATGGCTGTGCAATATTTATTTAATTATTCAATTTTTATAGCCACCCATCTCCATCCAATTGACTGATTAATATGATTTTTTTATATTATAATGGCCATTTGTTCTTTTAACAAAAATAAACTACTTTCAATGTTTCAAATTCAAGAAACCATGAAATGCTCAGAAAGAGATGGGTATTTTTTTACATTTTTTTAAACAAATTAATTATATTGAATTATTTGCCCTGAGAGTGCCCAGGTGGAAGCATTTGCAAGGTCAAGCCTACCTAATCAATCAGTTAGACTCTTAAGAATTCACACTCTTTTTGTTACTCCTGGGCTGATTATTTTATTTTACAGTAAAGAAAAATTTGCATGTATATAACAGCAGTTGGGGGCCTAAATTAGCAATGACCTCTAATCTCCTCAGTCCCAATAAGTTTATTATTTTTCCTACTTAGCTGCTACCTGCACTGGGAATGCCATCATTAAGATTCTGTCTTAGTGAATGGAATAGTACTTTATGCAGCTTTCCAATTTAAAGGTGCCTCTGTGTCAGCAGCACATTGGGACACTTATTCTGGCTACCTAGGTTTACAAGAGAATTACAGTATGCATATCAGTTGTAAGAAATACAAACTTAAATACACTTCCATCAAGGAAACCAGCGGAACAAAACTTCTTTCAAACAGCATGGTCAAATATTAAATTTCACCATGTACCAGAATGGGGCAGGATATACAAACCAAACACACCCACTCACATATATAAGGGAGAAACAGGAAAATTGCATTAAATTAAAATTTTACATTTCAATAAATGCAGGTTGACTGAGAACAGACCTTCAAGATTTAAGTCAAGGCCTTACTGTGAAATCTGTTTCTGGTTAACTATGGAGCATTAAAACTCTCTCATCATGATTTGCATCTCTAATTGAGATGTATTTCGACTCCAACTATGAAATAGCAATATTTAAAATGTCTTTACCACTACAGCTTCACATTTGGGGGCATTGAAACAAAGTTCAAAAGACCTTTCATTCTTGAGAATCCTATCTATGATGTAGCCAAGAATTACCAATTGCATTATTTCAAGGAATAATATAATTAAAGTTGGGTGAATTTCCAAATTGCTCTTCTGCCATGAAATTTAGATTAATGCAATGAAAGACTTAACAAAAAAAAGAGAGTAAGCAAAGGAAATAAGTAGGAGAAAAACATGGCTTGTGGACCTTAAGAGTTCCATATAATATAAAATTTGTGTAATTCTGCCAGAGGAGATTGAGCTATAGATTGTTTCCTTTAACACTAAAATACTTCGTCCATACTATAAATATGTTACTCCCAAAAATTGTGGGAAAAGAACAGTGCTTCTTTATTACCAAACGGTGAACATGGAACTAATTTTTACCACAAGGTGGTAAATCTTACATGGATGTAAACAGCTTGGGGGGGGGAGGGGGTTGTATTTTTTGAGAGTCAAGCTAGATGATTATCCACATGATTTAAAAAGTGTAGCTAGGCTAGCTACCTCTTTGTTTATAACAAACAGGCATCCAAATCAAGGTCTTGGGGAGGAACATTTCATCCTTGTCCACGTTTCATCTTGCTGAAAATCTCTTTCCAAAGCAATTGAAGGTGGGATTTCCTTCAGCAAAACAGTGCTGGAAAAGATGTTAATGTTCTACCCTTTACCTTCAGTCCCAATTGAGATCAGGAAGCCTACATCTTCCTGTCATCTAACCATTTTTTTTAATTAATGCTTTTAGTTGTATTTATTCTTCCCTTTTTCCCTAACAGGAAGAATATATAAAAGGAAGATTCAATTCCTGGCCTTACAATTATGCTACAGATCAGTCTTCTGCAACCTGCTGATTTAGATGTTATAATTTCTTGTATCTTCTTCAACCAGTGATATACCTTAGTCACATAACAATTCCAAAATTTAGAAGGGCTTTATCCTTGGCCAGATTCAATGTCTTCCCAATAGTTGTTACTGAAGAGAGACACTAAAAAATTCTCTTCAAACATAGATTGTGTCCATGCCATGAAGAAACAATTGAAAAATGGAACAAGTTATTTTATATTGTCTCCTCTAAGAAATGCTCACCAGGAATTATTATGTCTATTCTTTATTAAACTTCTGGGTTGTTCTGATTTGTTTTAACTTATTTTTTAATTATCATATTAATCTGATTTTACTTCTTTATAGCTAAGTACTATTCTATAGTTTGCACAGTACACTAAGTTTGTTTTTCTACTCCTCCTTGGATTTTTTTCCTTTTTATCATAATTAATTGCAATTTTTCTTGTTTTATCTGCTGGTCTATGGCTGAATAAAAATTGATAGATTGGTTGAAACTATAGTTTCTATCATTCTGATCATCATCAGTTTACAAAGGACTACAGAAAGAAGAAAGATACAGAATGAAGAGTATGAGACAAAAAGAAACTGGATTTTTTAGTTTGTAAAATGATAAAACATAAATAACTGTAACCCAAATAGCATAAAAACCATAATGCACTTCTCTAGAGAACTGTCCTGACTTCCTAAAGCTTCTATTTTATTGGAAGGTATCAGTAAGTAGGACAAACATATACTGAGGAGAAAAGAAGTTAACACACAATCCTATCTTCTTTGAATCTATCTATTTACTGAATCATTGCAAATGCCATCAAATGAGACTTCATACCAAATTTTTCACTTTTTACTAATTCATTACCCCAAAGTTGTTTTCAATAGAGATTGGTTTGTAAAAAGAATGAGAGAAAAGCAAATCCCTCTTTCAAAGATATCCAAATTAACCAGTCCAAGATATCAGTCTCTGCCAGGGGGAAAAATAACTTTCTAGCACCAGCATGAACAATCTTTTTGCTTAGAGGCAAATAATTTGCCACTTGCTATACACCAAGTCACCGTCTCCTATTAGTATAATGAACTTCCACAAATCTGGAACGGTTTTTAAGAAAAAGGAAGAGAATGTAACAAGTATTCATTCAATGTCTCAATATTCTTCTAGGGTTAGGAGGCAGCAATAGCTGTGCCACCACTTAGTTTCACAATCATCTGCTGACAGTCATTGCAGGAACGCATGTCGCCAATCTTCTCCAGTGTACGAGCTGCTTCTGCCAGCAGGACAGCCCGCTGGCCCGGAGATGACAGAAAAGACAGGGGGAGGTAGCGGCAGGCTAATAGAATTGCTGTAGCTCGTTCTCTTTGTCCAGGAAGAACATCCAACTCACCTAAACATGAAAAGAAAAGATTAACAATAAAAACTTAGTAATGAATATAAAATAAACATTTTAGGCAATAAATGTATTGTAGAAGTTACTGAAATAATAAATATGCTGGCTCCACCTCGAATTTTCTGTTAGAACTTTCCAGTTTTGTTGAATTCTGACAAGAAAACTGAATGTTCAAGTGTTCCATTTGTTGAAACAAAACTCAATGTAGGCTGAGTATTGTAATTACTAAAAAAAATGGTACTTGGCATAAGCCTTTTGCTTTTAATGTCAAGATTGGTAAAAGGGATAATATTTTAAAAGTCAAATTATAGCATCCCACCCAGCTAAAAATACTACTGCATGCAACTAATATAGGAGCTCTTCTTTTGTGGTATAATGGACTACTTGAGAATAGAGAGATTTCTTTGGGCACAGAACAAAAAAAACATATCCCAAGACAAATCTATCTACCTACCTACCTATCTACCTACCTACCTATCATTGGTTCTAATATAAAAATACCAAAAATGATATTCTATATTGTACATCTAAATTATACATACAGGCTTCAAGCATTAGGTGCCTCTTATCTATCTATCTATCTCAAAAAAAAACCATGGGTCAACCAGAAACTAAGACCAAACTGAGCTCAAACAACTTTCCAAATGTAGCATCCTTGTCCTTTTAATAAGCACTTTTACAATTAGGCATAACCCACAGAAACATTAATATTTGTTGTTGTTCTAGTATATTTAAATATGTGAATTCCTAAAATCTATGAAGGAAGATAGGTTTCCCATTATCAGCTCCATTATATACCCTTCTGTTTAGCAGAAAAGAAAGAGAACAACACAAGAACCTACTGACCTTGCTTGGTACTCTGTGGGATCCGACGTCTGAGACTATGCTCAAGCAGCTGATGAGTACGTGTGGGGCTGGCTCCTGCCATCAAGCGGACAGTGGCCTCATGCAGAAAAACCTAGAAAAAAATAGAAATTCCATGGAGATGATTTTAAGGGGCAGATTTCAAACAATCATTTCTTACATGTTGGTCAGATGTCCAAAACTGTGATGAAAGTTTTAAATTTTAAAGATTTTAAAGTTTGTATTTATCCACCTTTATCCTCTTGGCAGATTCACCTCACCTACTCTCTGTGTGTTTTATTTCTGTATTCCCTCCTGCAGAATTACCATAGCTGAGCTGCAAAAATCTGGACAAACACAAAATGGTGGTAAACTCTTTATGTTCTGTATATCTTTGCTGACATCTAGTGGTCATTAAAATTGCACAGCCAATGTATATTATTGTCCATGGTAGATGGCCTGATGCAGGCTCAAGGCTGACTTAGCTGGCCTCTAAACAGTTCATGCTGAGAAGAGACAAGAATCCGGATTGCAATTTATTCCCTTGAGGGGATGAGGGGAAATAAATGGTGAGCCCAACAGCAAACTGCTAAAACTATCTTCCTTTCTTAAGAGTGTTTTTAATGGCTACTTTATCCTCTTAGTCGCTTTCTAGTTTAAACCAATGTAGAAAGAGTAGAAAAACCAGGAAATTCTCAGTTCATATCACAACTATATCACAAAATAAGCCTTAAGTGGTGGAACAAAATATAAACCCTATGGGGTAGAACAAAGTATATGTGTGCATGCGCGTGCGCACAGACACAATTATAATTACAGAATTGTTTTAAGGATGTAAAATAAAGTGAAATATTTTAACTTTCACAAAGCATCATCCTCATCATTTCATGCATACCTATGTATTATGAGCAAAGCTTACAATAATAGAAGTATATCCAGAAGAAAATCTCTGATAATAAACACTGCAAACAATGATAAAATATTATGACAAACAGATTCCAGCAGAGCAATTTGTTCTTCTGACTTACAATACCATGCAGGTACTCAGGAGAAAACAAATATGCAAGTATGAAGAAGGACAACATTTTCTCACCCTGAAGTTCTCTCAAATACCACCCACAGATTCTTACACAAACAGGCGTGTCTATCTATCTATCTGATTTTTTTTACCAGGTTAAAAGACAAATGCAAAGAAAAATAAGAAAGAAAAAGGAAAGTATTTAAAACAATACAAATACAAAAAAAAAATAATACTGAAAGCAGCTTCCAATCTTTACAGCAGTTATAAACCTACTTAATATCATTTCCCCCTTTCAAGATTATGTAACATACTTCCCCCTCCTCCCTGTATACAGTCCTTTTTAATAGATAAATCCAGAAATTACCAGTTCCTTATTATCCATTTATAGCAAGAAGCCCATAAAGGGTTTCCAATATTCTTACCTTTCGGTAAGCGAGCCTGAAGCTATTTGCTAGTTTTCGCAGGCTGCCAAGATCACGCTGGAAGCCAGTCAGTTCAGAAGCAGAAGCATGGTGCGTGTCTCCCAAAGCTAGACTAGAATTTGTCTGTTTCTGCCATAGAGTGGTACGGAGAGATAACAGTAGATCGCAAGCCAGCAACTGGATCATCTAAATAGATAGAATCTTATTCAGCAACAAGAATACAAAAGTATTCAAACAACAGTAATGGTGGGGCACAAGGGCTGCAGTCACTGTGCTTGAAAATTTCTGGTGGTCACAGTCAAGTTTTGAACAACCACATATGGCCCAGGAATCCCAAAACCCATGTTTTCAATGGCCATTATAATTACTATATATGTATTACAGTAAAAATATGTTTATTATAAAAACTAAACAATAAACAGGAACAAAAAAGTATTAATTAGATTAGTATACATACATACAGACACACACACACACACACACAGAGATATATGGTATTCAGTTTTGTTCGGGTATTTTCCCACATCATTATAATTGTGCTTTTAAAGTTGTAGCAACGTTTCGGCAGAATCTCATCTGCCATCATCAGGCTTCTGTATTGTGTTCGTCTGTGAGTCAGACTTTCACAGCCATTTCAGATTTAAATTTGGGGCTCGCCTACTGCTGTGCCAGAATGGTTTTTTCTTCATCCTGATTGGTTGGGAGTCTTGGTCTGTGTTTATTGGTCTTGGAGTTTGCTGTGTTCTGCTTGATTGGTGTTTCTAATATCTTCTGTCTGTTTTGTGCCTTTTTTCTGTCTTGATTGGCTGGCAACATTGTATTTCCTGTATTGGAGGCTTTTAGTGTGGCTTGGCTCTGAGTAAATGGACGGCTATCATTTATTAGGAAGCTAGGTTTCATCTGGGTGCCTGGTTGGGGTGTGTTTGAGCTGGAGGTATCAGGGGGGATCTGTTTGTTCCCAGGTGTTTGCCTGGCTTGTGGTGTGGAGATTTTTTTGTTTGTGAGTGCAGGCTTCCAAATAATTGACAGTCTGGTGGAATCATCTCTTCTATTCATGTTTTCAGATCTTTTTTCAATCTCTATGGCTTCTCTGATAATTCTGTGGCTGGGGTTTTCTATAGTGGCTAGGGTTTTGGTGCCATTGAAGTTGATGCTATGACCTATGGCTTTCATGTGTTGGACTAGTGAGGAAGTGTGTTCCAGCTTTTTTACTGCATTTTTGTGTTCATCCAGGCGGGTACTTATTCTTCTATTGGTCTGTCCAATGTATGTGGCAGGGCATGATGCACAGGGGACTTCATATATGCCTTGGTTTTCCAGGTCGATTTTATCTTTGGGGCTTCTTAGGATGGCTGCTATTTTTCTGTCTGTTTTGAAGGCAGTCTTGATGTGATGCCTGTGTAGTATCTTGCTGATTTTGTCTGTAGTCCCTCTTATGTAGGGCAGGACAGCTGTTCCATAGGTCTATTCATCTTCTAGGTCTCCATTATGTCTCAGTGTGTTTTTGTGGATCAAGCCGGTGATTTTGCTTTTGTGGAAGCCGTTGGCTGTCAGTACTTTAGTCAGGGTGCATAGTTCAGTCTTTATGTGTGTCTTGTCTGCCAGGCGTTTGGTTCTGGCAATTAGTGTTTTGGCCACGGAGTTTATCTGTGCTGGGTGGTGGTGGGATTGGGCATTGAGGTAGCGGTTGGTGTGTTTTCTTCTGGTATATGGTGTGTCCTAGTGTGCCATCTGTTTTTTTGTAGATTAGTACATCTAGCAATGTTAGTTGTTTGTTTGTTTCCGTTTCCATGGTGAATTGATTTTGGGGTGTGTGCTGTTTAGGTGTGTTAGGAAATTGTTTAGGTGTTCTTTTCCATGGGGCCAAATCAGAAATGTGTACCTCCAGCTCAAACACACTCCAACCAGGCACTCAGATGAAACCTAGCTTCCTAATAAATGATAGCCGTCCATTTACTCAGAGCCAAGCTGCACTAAAAGCCTCCAATACAGGAAACACAATGTTGCCAGACAATCAAGACAAAAAAAAGCCACAAAACAGACAGAAGATATTAGAAACACCAATCAAGCAGAACACAGCAAACTCCAAGACCAATAAACATAGACCAAGACTCCCAACCAATCAGGATGAAGAAAAAACCATTCTGGCATAGCAGTAGGCTAGCCCCAAATTTAAAACTGAAACGGCTGTGAAAGTCTGACTCACAGATGAACACAATACAGAAGCCTGATGGTGGCAGATGAGATTCTGCCGAAACGTTGCTACAACTTTAAAAGCACAACTATAATGATGTGGGAAAATACCCGAACAAAGCTGAATACCATACATGTAAGTACCCGCGAAAACTTAAGAAAACAAATATATATACATACATACACACACACACACACATACATATACAGACACATACAAAACCTAGACAACTAAAGGAATTAAATAGATAACCCCCTTTACAAAAATAGATAAAATAAACCCTACAAAACCTATTAACAGTATATAACCACTTAAATCAAATAAAATTAAGCAATGTGCAACATAAAAATCAAAGAACCCTTTCAACAGGGCCAGTCTCAAACTCCAAGTCCCCAATCAAAGGAGCACCCCTATTCTCCAGAGTCAAAAAAAATTTAAGCTCAGCTTTAAAGACAGAAAACCAGTATCTTCAATTGTATTATTTAAAAAAACCCAACCCAGCTTACATCTAAGAAGATATCCCAAAAACGTTGCCACCAAATAATATTAAACTTCTTTATAATATATATATCATTCCTTAACCATTATTTGTTATCTAATTTTTGTTTCCTGTTTAATTAGTGCTTTGTGAAATTAGAATACAGGGAAACCACATTGTGTTCATCTTGAATTGCATTAACAAGAGACAACTGAAAAATTAATTTATTTGTGCATATATTGGAAACTTATCCTAAAGAATGTACATTTGACCCAACAATTTCCTAGAAACAGAAAGCAATACAATGTTGGATCAAAATAGAAATGGCATCAGTGTTCACAGAACTAAGATATTGCACATTCTCTGATGACAAAAGAATGCTTTATAAGAAGCATACAATTTGATTAATTTATTCTTTCAAAATACAAGCCATAAGCTAAGTGTTAAATACAGAACAACAGTTATACGTTTACCTTTTCTTTGCCTGGTATTCTTTGGGTTGTTTTCCTGAGCCCTTTCAATCTACAGTATTGACTCTACATGTTATTTCTTGCACTTGGTCTCTTTTTGGGGGGTACAGTAATCCATATTTCACTGATTAATCTGCAAGAGGGTTGGTGAATTAAATACTCGTTCCTATCTCTGGATGGAGGGCTAGATTAAATGGCCTCTTGATCCATTTTATATAAAGTTCCTAAGAATTCCTTCCCATATCAACAAAAACCAAGGCTCAGGAGACTTGTAGTGCAGAGATCAGGCAGGCCTCTGAACTGCACTGCAGAAACATTGCATGAGTATTTCCAGAACATGCAATGCAACTACAATGCACTACAGTTGCCACCCAATAGATATAAACAAAGAATCTGAATTTAATAAACCTCCATGCTTACGAAACCCAAAGTGCACTTAGTATTAAAAACAAAGATAGTGAGAAATTTCATGATGCAAAAATTGAGAACTGTTCTTAGCTATGGAAATCAATATCCTTATTCTTCGGTGAAAATAATTCATTTAGGATGTACAATTCAAGAGAACAAGGAATGGGTCAAACAAGCACTTGTCCTGTTATTTGGGCAGAGCTAATGAACTGTGAACAGATGCTATCCCCACCTGCCTTTCATTTGGAAATAGGTACAGTGCTGCTGTATTTGCTGCACTGGAGGAAGGCAAAGAAGGAAGAAGCTATATACATTAAGAAAACTGTTTGTTATCTTAGTTCAAGTAAGTTTGTGTGACTTACATTGTTGAGACTTGTGCTTGAGACCCCACTTCTCACGTTGAGACTATTCCAGAGATGAGTGCTAGCTCTTTCACAATGACTAAATGAACTATGCTGCCCATCTGCCTTGCTAGACAATAAGGCATTCATGGCTTTGCATACATGGAAGATAGCTCGTACAAGGGCATTCCTAGAGGCATAGAGGCAGGAGAGAATAGCAAGGAAAATGATTAATGTCTTTTAAGTTTTATGAACAGTAGATTTTTTTGTATTCTGTCTTTATTATTTTTACAAATAATACAAGGTGGGGAAAATATCCAACATATCTGCCTCCTCCTATTTTTGCCACAACAACAACCCTATGAGTTGGACTGAAAGAAACTGGTCCAAGGTTACCAAATTGACTTTCATGGCTAAGGCGGAACTAGAACTCATCAAGCCACCCCACCCCCTTTTAATGTATTTTCAGATACTTTGCTATATAAATTGCTTTGGTATATATTCTCCCCAAAAAGTGCTAAAATGAGCCCTATAAATGAATTACCACTAGATAATGACGCAAAAACTAGTATAGTAGATTTCTAGACTGATATTTTGCATCCACTACTCCTAAGCATATTTTGGGATACCCAATTCTGAAAAGTTTTGGGTTAATTTAGAAACTATTTGAAGAAACAAGTTATAATTTAGTTTCATGGTGCCTACCAGAGATTTGTGGTATGTTTATGGGAGATCAAAATTAAAGTTTAGGAAAATTTCTATTTTATTATGCCCTTTTTAGATTTCAGATACACAGTTGTACAAATAATATAAAATACCACACACTCCATCATCTCCAAGCATTTAGGAATTCGTTCCACGTTGATAAACTGAGATTTCACAACTGTATCATCACCCTTGAGCCAGCTAATTATCATTGTGATTGCTGATGACCACCATCTGCAGACTACATCAGGATCTACAAAAAATGAAAGATTGTTAAGGGCCTTAACAATCTCTTTCTCTCAACAACGATTCCACCCTTTTAAAACATGAATTCAGTCCATGGAACAAAAACAGAGCCAAGAGATAATAATGGGGGAAATGTAGCTTTGTTTCTTCATTGTGTTGCTCTATATTCCATTTTCAATCTTGTGGACATATTTATAATTGTGAGGTCATACTGTGGATGTTGAAGCAAAATAGTTACTGAGGGCTCCATTCATTGATTACTGGCAAAGATATGTGTCTGACCAAATGCTACCAATTACCCCTACTTACTCTCATTTTCTAGGCAGATGAGTACATTTCCAAATAAAGCATAAGCAGAAACCAATTTTATTTTCTAAGAAAGCTTGTGAGGATTTATGAGGGATCAAAAGTTTATTGATTGATTGATAAAATGTATAGGATGCCCATTTTACCTCAGAGTAACGTTCAAGGTTTCAAAGTTATCTATGAAATCAGGATTATATTAAAGACACTTTGCTATTCTATACCCAATTTTCCATTTTTATTTTTTTTTTCATTTTTTTAAATGTAAAATTCAGTTAAAGTATGTTGCCTAGCAGACAGCACATGTGTTTGAAGGCATACTAGAACCCCAGGGGGCAATACTTTCAGTCCTTCCTGCACTTCAAAACTTGCCACAGGAAGGAGAACTATAGGAGGAAGACAAACTGAAATAAGAAAATTATAAGCATCATTTCACCATTCTATTTGAAAGCTGATTTTGTATTTTTTTTAAAAAAAAAAACAATATTTAGTCTCAGTGAAATATCCAGAGCCATTTAATCAATTAGATGATACCAGGACCACAAAACAAAGGATGCATAAACTTGGAAAGCAAAACTTTTGAATTATCCCTTTCAAGACTTGAACAATATTCCAGGAATCTGAATAATGTGATACCACTTGTTCATATGAGAAATTGCTGTAAAAGGTAACTGACTAGGATTGTCCAGATCTTACTGGAAAGATAAAGCACCTTATTATTGCCATTTCTCAATGAAACCCTTTTTATAATAGGCTTACAATAGGATCATTGAAATAAATGGAGAAGTGGTGAGAAGTGGTCCAAGAAAATCTGCCCTTGTAACTGACAAAGTGTGTTACACCAAAGATAAGGGACCTAAAATTCTGTTCCTCTTTTTGTGTGATCAAGACACAATCTTGAACCTTGACCTGCAGAGCTAAGAGCCAAACATGTACTGACATTTCTCACATATAGGATGTTTGGCCCATTAGTAAAAGTGAAAACAAACATATGGCCAAGTCAAAACAGACCTGTAGTAGCAATCAAGGCAACACAAATCAGTACCTGCTCCTAGATTAGATATCTCCTTTATTTACTTTATACAGATGTTTTGCTCTTAAAGTCACTAAATATAATTTACAAGACACGTTGAACTCTTGGTTGAATTACTATTTGTTATAGAATATTTCAGAAAAATTCAGAAAACAGGTTGTCATAGCATTCACCTTCAGATCATAGCAGGGTAGACTATACTGATTATTATGCTTTCCTAGAGGAAAACTATGTGATTTGCTGAATCACTAAACATTTCCGTACGATAAGGTGACTAGCATGAATAGTTATAATCATAATAAACCATAATATATCAATTTTATAAACACCATGGCATTTATAAATAAAAGCGGAAAAAGGGGGATTGGCCAAACCTATTGTTTATTTTATTTCATGCATTTGGTTCAATTAACACTGCAGTTGTTTCTTTTTAGCATTAGAAAGAGCTATAGACTGAAAAAACATGTACTCTACCAATATTTCAGAAAAATATATTGGCCAAATAAATAATTAATCAAATACATTTAATCAAATGTATTCTGATTATTAATATACAGCTGAATTGTTTTTAGCTGTATGTATACAGTGAGAGATTATATAATATAAATGTAAAGTGCATGGAAAGAGCCCCCTGGAACTGTGAGATGGGCGACAAATTTAATAATAATTCAAACATCCACATCTGCTTATCCAGGTCCATGGGAAGGACTCAGTAGATGGACAAAAACGTCAATTCCAGTCTGAATATATGTTTGAATGTGAATATATGTTTGAATGTGATGAACAATAATAACTATTATTATTATTATTATTATTATTATTATTATTATTATTATTATTATTATTATTATTATTATTGAGATAAAAACAGAGGCACTAATATCTCTACAGAAAAATCATTTCCATCAAGCTAGTCTATCAATTATCACCTAGCAGCATGGCTGAAATAATGAAGTAGATCCATCAGCTTTGTTTTTAAATACAATTACAGTATTAAATTATTGTCATAATGTTGTAAACTAGTGCTGAGTTTGCTTTCTTTCCTTCTTTCTACCTTTTTCTTTTGTAGTGTTTAGTTGTTAACTACATTTCAGGGAGGCAATGTATTATTAGTGATATGTAGTATAGATCTCTCTGATAAATTTTGCAATTGAACAGTGGATAAAAAAAGCAAAATTGAATAAAAAGATTTAACACAAGAAAAATAGCATCTGACCACTGAATAAGTGCAGATACATTCAGGACGAGAGAGAAAAGAAAGCTGAAGAGGAGAAGTTGAGCATGAAAACCATTGAACAAGTCCTGTATCTTTCACACATACCTAGAGCAGACTTCAGCACAGAATTTCCAGAAAAAGGTGGTATCCCATTTCCCAAAGAATCCACAAAAGAACTTAGTAATGTCAAGTATTCCAAAGCATTAGCGAATTCACTGCAAGCAACAGTATAAAGTCAGAGTTTTAGGATAATGTATCATACTTTTACAATGAATCGTAACAAAAGTAAAGTTGTATTTTAACACACTTTTTTTTAAGGATGACCCTCTGTACAAAGAAGGTATTACATTCACATTCTGAAAGGCAACCAATGTTCACCATTGTGATATTTTTTTGGTATGGCTTTCTCCCAACAGAGACAATGATGAATCTTGCCGTGAACATTTCAGTGATAAGCGTAACCAAGATGGTAAAGTTAAATAATGTTGGGCTTCAATCCCAATAATTTGGTCAATCAATAGATGAGAATGATAGCAAATGATAAAAAACTTCTTACTATCAATCATAGTACAGGCTACTTTATATACTTTTTATGCTAATCTATTTTTTGCAATTTGTACAAACTGTTTAGAGAAACTGTGCTTTATCGTATATCCAATTAATACTGTGGATGGATACAATCTAAGTGATGTATTATGACAAAAGCAGTACTCATATAGGTGTGTCCTGTATCATGTTGCTTAAAACTGGGCAGCTGAAATATATATTGCCATTCTTCCTCCAGTGTTGAACTATAGGTTTTATTAGAACAGACAAAGAGAAATCTTCAATGTTCCCCCCAAAACTGCCAACAGGACACAAATATGGCTCACCAGGGTGCTTCATCATCATGGCTTGTAGCCCCTTTAGGAATCTGAGGCTTCACAATGGATTCAACAGCTCTCTCCAATAGATTCTCACAGAATGCCTGGTGTACCTGTGCAATGGGATCAGCTATATATGCGAAGGCAAAACAATCAGTTTACTACTTTACTCACAAGTCCAACAATAAATACTTCAGGAGTGTAAGTCTTTCTTTTTTTGTTTTTAGATAGAAAACTGTATTGCAGAAAGAATGCCAATTTATGGAAAACTGTCCTCTTGATTGTTTTCATATGTTCTTTTAACATTAAGTGTTTAAACCATAGCATGAATAAAGCTAGCAGGACAAAGAAAATGCATACACAGAAGGATTGTCCAATGTACCGGTAACAGGCTTAAAGAAAATATCTTCTCTAGCTACTGATCTTCACCTGGGTTCCTCTGAGTGGAGTACAGACTATCCTTAGCAGCAGCTTTCACTGTCCAGCTCCGTTCCACAAAAAATTTCTGCCCCAAAGGATGGCACAACCAGCGTAAGGAGTCAGGGATGTCACTATGCTCAGAAGTACACAAGCTTTGAGCTTGACTTAAGAAATAACTCTGAGAAGAAAACATGCAACATTTGACTGAAAGTTAGCAATCTATGGATGATATTTTTAATGTACCAACACAGGTCACTTTCATTTATTTTAGATGCAAATTCAGAGCAATAATTTAAATATGCCACAGTATTTAACCTAATACAGATATTTCTCGCTTGGGAGCCACTTGAATTTACACCCATACTCTGTAGAACTTCTCATGGACCACACTCTTAAGAGCATCCACCCACAGCACATGCCTGCCCATACTCCACAGGGCCCACACATGGCATCCACCCACATGCATGTACTTCTTAATGCCCACCCATCCATTTGCCTGGGATGCAGTTTCAGTAGCATAAATAAGCACTTCTGGATTCCTGCCTCTTCCCACATCAGTCATGTGAGGTCCTCACTTAACAACAGAAATGGAGACTGATGAGATTGCCTTCACTAAATGATGCAGTACTGTGACACTGCACTTTACAACTGCATTGTTTACTAGTGGAAATTCTGGTCCCAATTACTGTTGTTAAGTGAAGACTGCCTATTTTGCTAAGTGGTTCAAAACAATCCACGCACCGCCAGGAAGCCCAGCTTGCCACCACAGCGAGTCTTCAGGCCAACTGCAGCAGTTAGATGAATCTCTGCCAGGGTACTTGGCGAAATCTTCTCCTCTGCACATTCTGCCAGGTTTACAGCGCACAATGCCATGTGCAATCCTGAGTAAGCTGAACTAGATGGAAGCTTACCTGCATCAGAAATGTAAAAAAAAAAAATCATTTGTACCCTGTTGTGAATCACCTTGAACTGCATGGTTTCATCTGAAAAAGTTCTTTTAGCTACTGAAAATTAGTACCATTCATACATCACAGTATCACACAATACCCTGTTGTGCAAAATCTTGCATTATCAAAAATAAGGAGCACTCTAGAGATTCTAAGACGTAAAATTCATTAACAAGCAAAGCTTTCTTTATTTTGCAAAGAAAACTACATAAAATAGGCAGCCATCAGGAAGCAAACTTAACCTGGGGGAATCTTTACCTTTTAAACCACTACATTAATTTTTTTTTTCATCTACCTGTAATATGGAGTTGATGAAGTTTATGATACACTAATGCTGCATCTCGTGCACTAGTCTTGGCTTCATCTTCAAAGCCAAGAGGCGTCTCGGTTGCTCGTCTCTGCTGTGATGTCCTCTTTAGCAGCCAACGTACTAATCCCAATTTTTGGAGACTATAACGAATAATGTTCCAGGAAAGGCTACAGATCAAGTCAAAACGAGAAGTAGGCAACGCTCGGCCCAGGGCAGAAAGACAGATCTGCAAATTTGATGCTGCAGCAGCAAAGTCCCCCTGCAAACAAAAGAAGAAAAACACGGGATAAAGTTGAACAGTAGACATTTGAAAGTCTCATCATTTCCTAATTTTCAGACTATTCTGAGTCATCTTGGAAGATTTAAATTTTATTTTCCATCTTCACTCATTTTTAAGCTTTCTTAATTCTTTTTGACAACCTCATTTGTCATTCAGATTTTGGACAGTCAAGTAAACCAACATTTGTCTCCTCGGCTATTGATAAACTAGCTAAATTGCCATCATGTTTCAATATACCATAGGCTTTTCCCTCAATTTTCTCTCTTTCTCATCTGTATCAACTTACTTGAACCATGACATATCAGAAACACCAAAAATCTGGATCTGTATTATCTTGAAATCCTCTTGGATTTCATGTCCAGTTCAGTTAAACTTCAAGTCTCAGTCCAGTTAAACAAATATTCAACTACATAATGGGAAAGAAATAATTTACTCTTTCTAATTAAAATCAGCATTTAGACACAGAAGACATTGTTCCACTCAAAAATTTAAAAAAATTTCCTCACTTTTAATTTCAATAAGAGTTCAACCTTATTCCCCTTATAGCAAATTACCTACCTATAGGCTATAGAACGGAAGTGGAGTTTAATCCAAAAATGGTCTGATGGGCTCTGCCAAGGGGAGGCGCTTTAAGAACCCACAGTTCAAGAATTTTGATAATAGAATAAGATGTAGCCTAAATGTTTAGTAGTTCAAGAGACTTGTTCTACATTTTAAAATATTCACTTTAGGTTATGCAAATTTCAATTAATTCAATACAAATAAATGAGCACGGTAATATTTACCCTCAAAGCAACAAACTGCCTTACCTTAGCTAAGTCCAGGTCTGCCTGTTTCCGATGCCGCCAAAAAGTCACAGAGGAACGGGAATGCAGTCGTGTCACTGGCTCTCCATGCACCAACAGTTTTATGAATACACTCAAGATAATGACACCGTTCACAAGCCACAAGATCAAAGTGGGCATCATCCAGCCAAACCAGCCTCCTGATTCTAACAGAATCCATCATGTCAAAAGACATAAATTAGACAAGAAGTAACAGTTCACATTTTAAGATAACCATTCTTGGGAGAACCTTGATTATATAAAGATTGTGCTAAGCTTAATCGACTTGTTTTCTTCTCATCCTATTTATTCTTCTCAGAAATAGTACTGTTCCCATGCAAAACTCCTGCCCTAATATATGCAAGAAAATATCATTTTACATAAGATAGAAGCATTTAGAAAAAACTACCCAACTTACATAAATCACAAAAGCTTTTTAAAAATATAAACCTAACATGATTCAATCCACCCCACATAACAAATACAACATGCTACAATTTAAAAACCTTAAAGCCATGCAATACACAGAAACAACAACAAAATCTTCACAAATACACAGGTAAAATATATATTCCATACAGGTAAAATTTCAATTCATTAAAGGAACATATATCTCAAAAGCTCACAATCCCTTTGTACATAAGTATCCATTATCTGAGTCAGAGAAATAAGAATATGGATAGTACTATCTAATCCAATTATTTATAAATTATCACAATAAAACTGTAATCACCTTTTAAAACAGAATATTCCAGAACATATAACTAACAGATTGTTTTCTTCCCCTTTCATCATTTAGTTACTGTACTTGTCTTTAAAAAACTTGAAAGATATCAAATGAGCACTATTGGAAATATACCTGATTTTATTGCTTGTATATTCCTCTCAGAACCATGATGCACTGTGCTGTAAGTGTCCGGTGCTTCTTTGCCATCCAAAAAAGATGTTAAAGGGTTAAAGGAGAGACAGAGGAATGTGAGAGCGCAAAGCAGTATCCGTGAGCGATCAACCATTCCAAGAGCAACAGGTGGAGAATCAGGTTCATCTTTCACCTAAGTCAAGAGTGTGGAAGATTCAGTATGGAAGAGTTAGTTCTGAAACATTTAAGACAAATAGTTGCTCTACACTGCACAAGGCTGAATTTTCAACATTTTCTTTATAGCAGATTTATTCTTCTCAGACTACTGTTTTATAAAAATGTTTCACCATTACAAAATCCCCCTGAAGGCCACTGAATTGGAAATAAAAGCAAGCCTGTAGATCTATTCATGCTTTTCTCCAAGTGGTGAATTTAAAAGACTTAAATAATTTAAACATTTACAATTTACTAAAATCTCCTTTTATTTCCAATGTTATAATGAGATTGATCTTTGATAATATCTAAATATGCTTCTGAAGATCATGGAGCAATGTATAAACTAATCTATGAACTAATGATACAGTACATCGTACATGCAAGTACAAGTAGTCCTTATTACATTCAAGTACAATGCCTGTCTGTTACCCCACGTTCGTCAAAATAAATTTGAAAAACCTCATTTTGTTGTAATCTATCCATTCACCCCAGGCCAGTTCAATTTGAAGTTTCAGTCTGAAATTACCCGTATACCATTTCTCTTGCAGATGCCTTTGTTTATTTTATCTTATCTCAAACTTGCCCCTAACATCCTGTTCAATGCAGTGATGGTGTATCTGCAACATTCTGGCAACTAGCATGATACACAGATATTGTGAAAGGCTGTAACCCTTTGAATGTTCTGGTTTATTGGGCTTTATGATTTCTTTGATATAAAGCAAAATATTGCCCCAAATGTTATTGGACCTTTAATGGAGTTTGGTACAAGATTTCTCATAATGAGAAGAGCTGGGTCTGATATGTCTAGAGCAGCAGTTGCCAACCGGTGGGCCATGAGAAAATTTTGGTGGGCCACAGAGAAATCTCACCCCCCAGGGCACCCCCCCAAAGCAATTAATCCAGGCTGCGCAGAAACACAAGGCTGCTCAGCCCACATGGCCTGCGGGAACCCTCCCCGCTCACTTACTCCTTACCCAGTAAACTTGTCTAAGTTACTATTTTATCTTTTTTCCAACCATCATCTGTTCTGCTGTGCCAGAAGATTTAGATTAGCTAGGAAGCAGGAAATGGTTGAATTTCTTGCTTTCTAGCTAAGCACAGCCGAAATCTCCCTTAGGACTGAAGGCTTTCTTACAAGCAAATTCAGTGCAGACTCACAGCAAGCAAATTTGAGAGATTGAGCTAGCCAGTGGCAGATAGATAGATCAATGAATGATTCTGTGAGCAAGTCAATCTGCCTGCTTTGCCTGATTTTGGATAAAAGTTGCTTTTTTATAAAAAATTCAATAAATACATGGTGTGTTGTGAGTTAATTTTATGAGTTTGCTTGAAGGCAAATTTTATGTGACGGACTAAGCTAGCCAATGGCAGATAGATAGATTTCTGAATGAATCTGTGAGCAACTCAATCTGCCTGCCTGCTTTGCCTGATTTGGGCTCTTTTTTTATAAAAAATTCAATATTTATATAAATATTTATAATATTTACATACAAGCCATGCCCAGCCAGTCACATGACCACCAAGCCACACCCACAAATTAGGCCATGCCCACAGAACCAGTTAGTAATCCCTGGGATCTAAAATTATGAGTTTGGTAGTCCCTGACATCCAAAACGTTGGCGACCCCTGCTCTAGAGGATTCAGTTGGTGAAAAAAATGCCATTGCTCATTATTGATCAGTGATCTAGAAAAGTCAACGTAATATGTCACAAACATTTTATGATATTCCTTTATTTGTGTGCCTGATTTTAGTTGTGTTTATTGTGATTTTTTTAAAAAAATCAATTAGTATTTTGAATCTCACCTTCCTTTTAAAAATCATAATTTATTATTTGATTTTAAAGGGAAGCAGATGACATATCTCCATCTGAAGCAGCATGCATGTAACACCAATGAGAACTTGTCTATGCTTCCCAGTGCAGATTGCCTTACGAATATTATCTACCTTTGCATCATCCAATAATGGACTTCCTGGTTCTGAATCAATTGAATAAGGGGAAAAGCCTGCTGGTGACCCTGAGTCAGAAGCTGGAGGAGACATCAATAGAGCATTTTGATTGAATTCATCCATCTTCATATCCACATCAGTGTCCACTAGACTGCTTAAGTCAAAACCCTTCAACAACTCTGTGAGAAAAGATCACGCAAATAAATTATTCCATTCATAGTACATGATGTAATTAAATCCCCTGCTTATCAGTTCTACATCTATCCCCTAAAAGCATAATCAATGCATTCATCAATGCAAGGGGGCATGAAATCATTTAATTAAAAACCTTGATAGTACCTGCTTCACTTAAAATTAAAACAATGGAATGTAATATTTAAAACACTTAACTGTTTTTCTGGCTAGACAGCTTAAGGATCATGTTCTCCTGTCGCAATTTATGGTTAACCTGCTGTAGATATTTAATGTAGTCGATAGCCTTCCTCAGTACACCTGACTTGTGCATCTGAAAAGAATGCATGATTATTTATTCAGCTATCTTATGACCTCTTAGCACATTTTCATTTAGCAGTAAAGTTTTTTCTTAAATTTGTGTATGTATATAGGATGCATGTTGAGTTACCTTGAGATAAAGATGGGCAGCCTACAAATTTTATAAATAAATTAATAGGTGATTTAGATTTAGAGAACCAGTTTGGTATAGTGGTTAAGGTGCTGTCCCAGAAGCCAAGAGCATATAAGTTCTAGGCCTCCCTTAAACATGAAAACTGTTTGGGTGACTTTGGACAAGTCATTGTCTTTCAGACCAATCCACCTCAAAGTTGTTATAGGGAAAGTAGAGCTATTAGATATGTTTACTGCTTTGAATGATATGTAAAAAGGGCAGAATGAAATTATAGTTGGTCATACAATCAGCAAAATATTCAGACTGGATTTGGCATTTTTAACCATCTATGGAGTCCATCCCAAAAACTGTTGTTGTTGTTATTTACAGATTTAATTCAATGGAAAAGGACATCAACAAGAACATTAAATCTCAACTGCAAACATGACAAATAGATTTGTAGCTATTGCAAATATTTTTGTTTTTTCAACTAAGCAATTCTTACTTTAGCATCTGTTCCCATGACCAGATCTTTCAGTTCTATGATCTTGTCATTTATAGATGATCGATATCTCTTCTCAATAATATTATGAGTTGTTCGCCTTTCTCCTTCCTTTGGTGGTTCTGGCTGCTTAGTGTTATTAGGCACTTGTTTAATGGGCATCTTCTCCTGCCCTCCCATCATCATAGGCATAGTTGTCAAGATGGCCCCATTGCCACCAACCAAGGTCTAAAAAGTCAACAGCAGAAATCAAATAGCAATTAATTTTTCATGTAAGATCTGTGACATCGTTTTTATATGTACAGTTGAGAAAACGATTTAAAGTAAACAATAGCTTATTTGGAATTGAACAACGTAAGACAGAATTTGAAACTGAATTATGGGCAAATGATGAATAGGTACGGTCATTGCTAAAATGTATAAGCTTTTATCAAAATTTAAAATGAAAACAAGTTAAACAGCATATGATAAAATGGGCAATGCTTATAACATACAGATGTAACAAAGAGAAAGCATGTGGATGAAAGGACTGAAATTCACATGTTTATAAAAAGAGAATTTTTATAAAATGATATATGATACTAGAAAAACTATCTAGAATTTATAAAGGTATTTCAAATCTATGTTGGAAATGTGGAAACTATGAAGGGTTGTTTTATCATGCTTGGTATACTTGAAAAAAGCTAGTAAATTTTGGATTCAAATGCATATAGCAATACAAAAAAATTAATATTCAACTGAAACCAGAATTTTCATTTATGAACCAACAGACAATTAGAAAATACTTACGGTGTTTGTACATGGTAACTGCAGTGGGATTATTATATATAAGAAAAATGGAAAAACTCTGAAATACCCACAGTAAAAGAATAGTTGGTGAAAATGACAAAATTTGCTAAAATGGCAAAATTGACTTGTTTGATTAGAAAAAAGACAATAACTTTTGTTAGTGAATAAAAACTCTTTATGGGTATGAAAATAGAAAAAATAAACATTTGATGATTAGAAAGAATAGAATATGGAATGAAGGGAGCCACAATGTAATCTTAATGAAGATAGACTAAAAATGCACTTATAAGCAGGGGTGGGATTCTACCGGTTCTGTCCACTTCTGTAGAACCGGTAGCTCTGAAGAGTAGCAGAAAGAGAGCATACATAGAACCGGTTCTATGTCTGCTGCTGTTTTGCCCCACCCGCCCGCGCAGGCTCTTACCTGACCTTTATTTTCTGCTTTTTCAACCGCAGCTGCTTTGCGCAACATAGCTGCGGTTGAAAAAGCACTTTTTTCCTGCTTTTTCACCGCTGCGCAGCCGCGCACAGCACTCCTCAGCTGTCCAGGTAGCTAGCTGACAATGATATACATGCGCGTGCAGCAAAACGTAAAATCACCGAACCGGTAGTTACACCGGTCGGATCCCACCCTGCTTATAAGTGCTGCAAAGAAGATTGGAAGCCACTGTTCGATCAGTTCTTTTTATTTTCTCTCTCTCTTTCTTTCTTTCTTTTCTTTCTTCCTTCCTTCCTTCTTATTTACTTATCACTTTTACTTTTCTTTATTTCTATTTTCCTTTCCGTTTTAAAATTTGCATTGTTCAGGAAAATAATTATTTAATAAAAGTTAATAAAAATATGTGACCAAAATAAAACTCCACATTTTATAAAACAAGTAGGAAACAAAAGAATGGCTTACAATTCACTAATACTTTTGTTCTATATGAATAAGATTTCATATTCTCTATATCAAGAATCTGGGCAAAAAGTTTGGAAAACACCCATCACTAAAAACCAAGAACAATTCTTATTTACTACAAAACCCAAAACAAACTAGATAAACCAGTGACAATTATAAACAATGCACTCCTATGTTCGTAAGAATTCAGAAATATTTCTGGATCCCAGTGGAGTAACAATGCCACTATTTAGACATAGTGACAATGGCACTGCATTTTCTCATGACAGTCATGATCAGTGGCTTCCAACTGCAAAGACAGAACTTTGAGCAAAAAACGCTGGATTATGAGATAAAATTAAGAAAGACACCTAATCTAAAAAACTCTTCTAAGGTATGTAAATTTCCTTATAGATTCTTGCATACTGGGAAAATAAAATGCTTTCAGAATATAGCAATAGCACTTAGACTTATATACTGCTTTATATTGCTTTACAGCCCTCTAAGCAGTTTACAGACTCAGCCTATTGCCCCCAACAATTTGAGTCCTCATTTTACCCACCTCGGAAGGATGGAGGCTGAGTCAACCTTGAGCCTGGTGGGATTTGAACTGCCAAATTATAGGCAGCTGGCTGCAGAAGTAGCTTGCAGTACTGCACTCTAACCACTGTGCCACAAAGGCTCCTGAACAGGTTCTCACCTGTTTTGTAAGTTAAACAGCTTTTTGTTGAAATGTGCATATTTTTCAAGCTGTAAAGAATATGTCTTTTTACAGACCATATCATAACAAAACTATTATCAGAAAGATAAAAAAGAAATTTAAACTATACAGCATAAAATACATCATTAACGGATAAAAACAAGAAGAAAATGAAGGAAATTCAAGAAGATATAATATCAGATTATACTATACAGTAATATAATAGGTTTATGGGGTAAGAGACATTGGCATGGCCGAAAAGGGAAATCAGAATTAAGTGCTAGGCTTAGGGGAAATGGTCTATTGTTGCAAAAAGGGTTTTTTAATTGGTTATGTCTCAGAGCACTTTCTAAAATTGGTCATTTTTAAATTCAAACTCTTTGAAGTTGTAACTGAAACCATGATTTATTTATTTATTTTTTATTTTATTTATTTATATCCCACCTTTGTTATTTGTATAACTCAAGGCAGCGAACATATCCAACATTATTTTCCTTCTCCTAAAATAGGTGGTGAGTTGGGTCAAAAGAGAGTGACTTGGCCAAGGTCACCCAGCTTGGCCAAACCAGGACTTGAATTTACAGCCTTTTGCTTTTTAGTCCAGTGCCTTAACAGACCAGGGCTGTCACACGGCCCATGGACCAGAGGCATTATGCCCTGGCCACGCCCATACATGAATTAGCGAAGTGGGGGGGAAAAGTTGCGATACATCATATGACAACACCATGACGATGCAAGTTTGACACCCCTGCACTAGACCAAACTGGTTGATGGGAAAATAGCAATCAAAGATACAAAGGAATGGAAGAAATAAAAAAAGAAAAACATGTACTAAATATTAAAAGGATCCTTTCATGCTAAGAATTGTAATGGAAAGTCATCACATTAAGTCAAGATATGAAGTCTAAGCAGTACTGATGTTGATGTCTATTATACTTATTCAACCATGGAGATGGTGTGATTCCAGAAGCAAACTTTACATCTTTAAAAGGGACATTAGGACTAATTTCTCTGATGTCTACTGGAAAGAGAAACTCTGATATGCATGACTACATTTGCTGACAGTTTCTCCAATGACAATGGAAAAGATGACTATCTTTGACTTTACATCACTGCATAAAACTTAATAAAATGAAATTATCAGGTTCACTGGGGTAAAATGAATGTGTAAACAATATATGTCTTTATTTTATCAGTAATCAGCTACATATTGTGGACTCCCCAAAAGCATCTTTTAATAAATTTAGAGTGGCAATAAACAAGATCATATGGCAGGAGAACCAGGGCTGGGATTCAAATTTCTTAACAACCAGTTCTGTGGATGTGGCCTAATTTGTGGGTGTGGCTTGGTGGACATGTAACTGGGTGGGCATAGCTTGTATGTAAATATTATAAATATTTATGTAAATATTGATTTTTTTTATTAAAAAAGAACAACTTTTAACCAAAAAGGAAAAGCAGGCAGGCAGATTGAATTGCGCACAGAATCACAGATTTACTTAGAGATCTATCTATCTGCAATCGGCTATCTGAGTCTGTCACATAAAATTTTCTTGCAAGCAAGCTCATAAAATTTGCTAGCAAAATTAACTCACAACACACCATGTATGTAAATATTGATTTTTTTATTAAAAAAAGAGCAACTTTTACCCCAAAGCAGGCAGGCAGATTGAATTGCTCACAGAATCATAGATTAACTTAAGAGATCTCTCTATCAGCAATTGGCTACCTGAGTCTGCACTGAAAAGCTTCAGTCCTAAGGAAGGTTTGGCTCTGCTTTTAGATTAGCTAGAAAGCAAGAAATCCAAGGATTTCCTGCTTTCTAGCTAATCTAAATCTCCTGGCAGTGTAGAACAGCTGATGGCCGGGGGGGGGGGGGGGGGGGGATGGCAGTTAACCAAACCAGGCAAGTTGGATGTCTTGCATGCCAGGTAAGGAGTGGGTGGGGACGGGCGGGGCCAGCCAGTGGAGCGATTTGTCAGTCCTCTGAACTGGGGACAATCGTGTTTACAGCGTTTGAAAGAAATCATCAGCTGTGCTGCCTGGACAGCTGACAAGCGCTGAGCTTGGGTGCGCAGCGTTTGAAATCCTCGTTTCCTGTTTTTTCAACCTCAGCTGTGCCACGCAAAGCAGCTGAGGAGGGAAAAACAGGGAATAAAGGACAGCCTAGAGGCCAGGCAAGCGGGTGGGCCAAACAACGAACCGGTTCAGTGTCAGCTGTTCTTCGCAGGTTCTATAGAACCGGGCCGAACCGGTAGCATCCTACTCCTGAGGAGAACCTAATGTTATTGGCAGAGAAAAATAATCTTGAGATGGATGGAAGGTCCTAAAAATATGCTAAAAGCACTATTGCAAATAACTGCAGTGTGGGGAAAAATGGAAAATGAAAAGATAAATAGTACTTTGGCAACACAAAAAACTTAAGTCAAAATTTGAACACGTAAAGAGGATACAAATAAGAGAAGAAAAGAAAAACTGGTTACCAAGAAGAGACCTTTCAATAGTTTATAACTGTTAGCCCCTATAATTCCCTCCTCCCAATATTTAGAGATATATTCTGAGGAATTACATTGAAAACAGGTATATGTGCAGAATACATACACATAAATATACTGTAGATATCCCCTTTTCACTACAAGAGTGATTATATAGGCTCAATATACCTTTTTTTTGCAAGAAGATATTACTATATACCATATGTACTATAATGCTCAGATGTAGTTTGAAGAATCTCGATGAGAAAGAACCCTAATTAATAAAAGGAAGAAAGCAACCATTTGGGAGATAATGTGTGGAGCCTTATGATACCTGCAGAGCTGTTGTCTGTATGGGTGTGGTTATTGCTGTCAGGGCTGGATTCTGAACAGCAGCCATAACAGAATTGCCATCAGTTTTCAATGTTGTTAAGACAAGAGAATCTGTCTTGATTATCTGTGGCTGGACTAGGACCTGGAAGGAAGCAAGACAGTAAACATTTAATGAAAACAAACACAGAAATGAAAAGTTGTTATTACTAGTTCCTATGTTACAATATAGAGTCCATTGCAAGAAACAGCCATAACTTCTGTTTCAATATACTTCTCTCCCAGGCTTCCTTCTACATATACCAGAGGCCCAGATTATACAGCTACTAACTTCATATATGTTACAGATGACTTTCACTGTGACATTCCATCAATCAATCCAATAATTTATCTTAATTAATAAATTAGCTTTAAAGCATATAATCTCCACCCGATAAAAGCTTTTAGAAGTGAAGTAAGGAATGTATTCTTTGTAATGCTCCTCCCATCCGTTAACAAAATTGCTGTTATAAAATACCAAAACCTCCACTGCTGAAATTATTATAACAATAGCATGGAATTCTAATCCATTCTTTCCAAAATTTCTTTACTAATTTTTTTTCCAATACCAGTATTGTAATCACTTTTTCTTTTCCTACGTTTAGCCATCAATGACCTATGAGCTTTGGAGATTTCATTGCTTAGAAGCCAAACATTATGTTAGCAACATTATTTCTTGCCTTGGAACAGAATACAAATACTGTATATACTACTCCCTTAAGATACCAAAAGAACTCACTGGAACCTGCTGAACCTGAGGGGCAGCTACTGCCTGGACAGTCGCTGGAGTTAGTGTCTGGATGGTGCCACTGGTACTCTGTGTCAGTACCCTCTGAGCTTGCATGGTCTGCACCTGCTGTTGAATGGCAACTGGTTGAACTTGGGAGGAAGTCACCAAGCTTTGAACCTGAGGCTGCAGCACTAGAAAGAAAATAAGAAGAGTTTAAAACTGCTCAAGGGAAATTATGACTTCCACAATAAGGATTGTAGCCTCTGATCTTTGGTGATAGGCTGTGTTTCAACAAAAACATATAGGTAATTGCTGTAGTTTTTTCCCCCCTTAAAAGTTATCATAATCTAACAACTAAAAGCAAACTCCACCAAAAACATCTTCTATTCAGTTTTAATATTACATTAGGACAGTCCAGCCTTAATCAGTGATATAATAATTCCTGATTTTTAATTACAAACTTGTCTACCAGCATGAGTTTTTATAACTTTATTATTCAAGTTTTATATTTTAAACATTATATATTTCATTGACTGTGCTGTTTAATTGTATTTCTCTGTTTTTTAATTGTACTGTATTTCTTGTAAACAATTTGAAAACAGAATATCTATTTTGACCAATTAGCAAACCCTTATTGCTTAAAGAATTAAGTTTACAGGCAGTCCTTGATTTAAGACCATCATTGAACCTGGAATTACGGTTGATATGGTGTCATTAAGTGCGTCATTATGTGACCATACCTGATTTTATTCTCATCTGTGATGATTAAGGTAAGAATTGTTTTACCCTAGTGCTTTATAAAACGGTGTTCTTTATTGCTCTGAAGACCATGGGAGTTACCTTGAAAACTTGTGGTTGCATTTTGGTATATTACAGGTTGCTGAATGATCCGGGTCTGGGGAGCAGAGCTGAAAGTTGGAGTAATCATCACTGTCTGTTGCTGAAGTTGGGGCTGAACTTGGGGGCGAGGTTGAAGAGGCGGTGCAGTTCGTTGTGGAGCAGGAATTGTGCCTGCTGACTGAGACGTCTTCACTTGCACAGACTGAAGCTGTGGTGGAGAAGCTGCACTAGGAGAAGAGGACTGTAACTGTCCCTGGCTGTAGGCTTTCTGTGAAGTATCTGACATTCTGTCTCCATTACATGCATTGCTGCTCTGGAACGTGCCATATAATTGTTCAGAAAATAAATCTGGAAAATCTCCAACCTGATTGCTGACAAACTGTAGCATTTCTATTAAAAAAAAACCACAAAAATGGAAACCATGAGATTACTTTTCAAAATTCATCAATCTTAAAATTAAAACAAATATACAGCAAGGACATGCATTCTTTTAGATCTAAGAATCTAGGATAGAGATGTATTTTCCTCAAACGGTATAATTCGGTTTATGGCCTTATCACTGGATGTTTAAGTGGTATGTGTAGGTTCATATATCTTTTCTTTTTAGAAAACCAAGTTATCTATGATTTTGTCTCATCCCAAATAAATTATCCCAATGACTCATTTGTGAACTGCCTTTTTGGAAAATTCAAATGATTTAAAATATGATGCCTTATTATTAACCAGATGTAAAAATGTTTCTATTTTCAGTTCAGCAGTTAGTAGCCGTTAGAAAATCATTGAAAATATGGGCCTTTCCTTTGATATCTAAACCTGAATGGATGAATCCTATCCAGATATATAATAAATTTGAGTCCCTAATTATTAATTAATGGTTGTCCCTTGTTTTTAGTTGGTATTGATTATTTTATTTTTTTTGTTTATTATCTGCTATCAGATTAGTAGAATCACAAACGCTAAGAAATTACCTACTAATTTTCTATGCAATAAGCTTAGAAAATAAATCCTGTAACAGAAGAATCATTAATAAAGCTTAAGATTCTGTAATAGTATCAAAAAAATGTTTAGGGCACAAATACTTGATCATGTGCATTTTTTCTGTCTCATTTGTTATTCTGCTGTGTCCACCAATTTAAATCAATATGAGCTATTTCCAGGAAAAAGGATTGAAGATTAGATTCAATTAAATGAGGTATAATATATAGAAAAAAACTTACTAAGCAAAAAAAATGGACCAAATGAAAACAAAAATTCTACTCACTTGACAGTAGCTCAATATAGAAGAAATATCTAATTCCATAAAAGAAGCCTTTAAAGACTTATAAGATTTTGAAGTTAACAGTTTCTCATTAAAGACATTCCTTTATCTAACTAATGGAAATATAGGCTGCAGAGTTTGGAAACTTCTCAATTTACTTCAGAAACATCCAACAACTACTACCTTACTGTTAAAATAAAAATCCATTGCCAATTTTCCACATGAAATCAACAAGTTTTAATTGATAAAAGAAAGTTGTGTTCGTTTTAGAGCTGTTGGATCTCAGCTGCAAAAACAAACATTAGACAGCAGAAAAGAGTTTATTTTCTTGCTGATATCTAGCAGTCATCAAATTTTTGCAGTCCAGGATTGACAACCTAATTATATTGTTTTAAAAGGTATGTAAGCATTCTAATGGCATGAAGAAACAGCTTCTCGTGCTTTTAAAAATACACTGCTCAAAAAAATAAAGGGAACACTTAAATAAACACAATGTAACTCCAAGTCAATCACACTTCTGTGAAATCAAACTGTCCACTACACTGATTGACAATCAATTTCACATGCTGTTGTGCAAATGAAATAGACAACAGGTGGAAAGCATAGGCAATTAGCAAGACATCCCCAATAAAGGAGTGGTTCTGCAAGTGGTCACCACAGACCACTTCTCAGTTCCTATGCTTTCTGGCTGATGGTTTGGTCGCTTTTGAATGCTGGCGGTGCTGTCACTCTAGTGTTAGCATGAGACGGAGTCTACAATCCACACAAGTGGCTCAGGTAGTGCAGCTCATCCAGGATGGCACATGGCAAGAAGGTTTGCTGTGTCTGTCAGCGTAGTGTCCAGAGCATGGAGACGCTACCAGGAGACAGGCCAGTACATCAGGAGACATGGAGGAGGCTGTAGGAGGGCAACAACCCAGCATCAGGACTGCTACCTCCGCCTTTGTGCAAGGAGGGACAGGAGGAGCCCTGCCAGAGCCCTGCAAAATGACTTCCAGTGGGCCACAAATGTGCATGTGGCTGCTCAAATGGTCAGAAACAGACTCCATGAGGGTGGTATGAGGGCCCGACATCCAAAGGTGGGGGTTGTGCTTACAACCCAATACCATGCAGAACGTTTGGCATCTGCCAGAGAAACCAAGATTCGCCACTGGTGCCCTGTGCTCTTCACAGATGAAAGCAGGTTCACACTGAGCACATGTGGCAGACATGACAGGGTCTGCAGACACCGTGGAGAACGTTCTGCTGCCTGCAACATCCTCCAGCATGACCGGTTTGGCAGTGGGTCAGTGATGGTGTGGGGGGGGCATTTCTTTAGGGGGCTGCACAACCCTCCATGTGCTCGCCAGAGATAGCCTGACTGCCATTAGATACCAAGATGAGATCCTCTGACCCATTGTGAGACCATATGCTGGTGCAGTTGGCCCTGGGTTCCTCCTAATATACGACAATGCTAGACCTCATGTGGCTGGAGTGTGTCAGCAGTTCCTGCAAGATGAAGGCATTGATGCTATGGACTGGCCCGCCCGTTCCCCAGACCTGAATCCAATTGAGCACATCTGGGACATCATGTCTCACTCCATCCACCAACGCCACGTTGCACCACAGACTGTCCAGGAGTTGGGGGAGGCTTTAGTCCAGGTGTGGGAGGAGATCCCTCAGGAGACCATCCACCACCTCATCAGGAGCATGCCCAGGCGTTGTAGGGGTCATATAGGCATGTGGAGGCCACACACACTACTGAGCCTCATTTTGACTTGTTTTAAGAACATTACATCAAAGTTGGATCAGCCTGTAGTGTTTTTTTCCACTTTAATTTTGAGTGTAACTCCAAATCCAGACCTCCATGCGTTGCTTAATTTGATTTCCATTGATAATTTTTGTGTGATTTTGTTGTCAGCACATTCAACTATGTAATGAACAAAGTATTTAATAAGAATATTTCATTCATTCAGACCTAGGATGTCTTATTTTTGTGTTCTCTTTATTTTTTTGAACAGTGTAGAAACAAAACATTAATTATATATTTAAATAAGTATGCTTCTTATTTAAACAAGCCCATTTCTGTTCTAGAAAAAAAAACAGCCAGGGTAGGAATCTGTTCTGTATTTATGCTAATAATTATTTGTTCTAAGTGGCTTTTCACCTCTAAAAATACTGCTTAATACAAAAAATAATAATGTAGAAAAAGGTGTTCTTCAGAAAAACAAGCAATGCAGTTCAAGATCTGGAGTACCTTCTAAATTTGAACTCTAAAGACTTCCCTGCCCCAATCCATTCCTTTTCATTATGAAAACACACATCCTTCACATTCTATACATTGAATTGAAAACCCCTGATATTGCATTAATATTGCACTATACAGCAGAATTCAATAGAGTTACTGCACTGGGATAGGAACTGTTTTTCAGCCTATTTGTCCTTGTTTTTATTATCCTCTACCGTCTGCCAGATGGTAATAATTAAAAAAAAAAGAGTGCCCAGGATGAGATGAATCTTAGTGTACATAGTTACAGTGACTAAAGTACATGCATCATAGAATACAGTTTAATATTTAGGGAAATACTTAGGACAGTTAGCCTTAGTTTAACTGGATGCCACTCAACAGGATCAAATCATGGAACAGATTTGGAGAATATCAGTAAAGTGACAGATGTGTCTCATAATTGTTACAATCATTGGATTGTAAATCATCTAATCTAATACCCTGCTTGATTTAGTATCTGCTAAAGGATTTAACATATTGTATAGGTAGTCCTCAAGATACAACCCTAATGGAGCTTGCCCATTAGGGCTGCATGACAAAACTTCATAAAATGAACTGAACTCACTTTTACAACATTTTTACCATTTTTATTAAGTGAATCAACCAGTTGTTAAATGAACAATAATCAGCCTTGGTGTTGCTTTGTTTCATTAAATGACCTCTTCCATCATTAAGTGAACTGAAACTCTAGAGAATATGCAGGGTTCCCTAGATGGATTCTCTGAGGGAATAGTTTTTGGCGGCCCTCCACTTCTGAACCACCTACAGGCAGGTACCCAGACTTAAATTTGGGTGGGAAGGTGAATTTCCAGATGTGTTCCATCCCTCATCTGTTCTACAAGCAGTCTACAATAGTACACACTAATCCCCAAAGCAAAAGCAAACAGTACAGTAGAATGCAAAGGATCTTTCTGCAAGCAATCTCAAACTACATGGAAACACTACAGTAAATGCAAAGCAATTTTATAATACTAAACCTGCTTTCTGTTTCTATAGATACTGGCTAGTAGTTCTGCAATTGATTCCAGGACAAATAAATGCAAACAGACACGTTTACCACTCTTAGTCCTCCACCAGCAGCAATGAGGAGAAAAAAAACAGGCCAGGAGGAATGTACCAATATATGGGCCTTGAAAATTGCCTGTTGTAACAACGGGTAACAAAGGGCAGTCACAGAACTAAAAATGACCACAGCTTCAGAAGTGACTGAATCTAGGTCACATGACTGCAGACCAAAATTGACCAAAACTGCCTTGAATCCCTGTTATAAATACAATTTTGGGTTGCATTCATAACTTCAAACAGTTAAATATCCTGTTTGTACCTCGAGGACTACCTGTATATCCAGCCTCTATTTCCAGATCTCAGTAAAGAGGAACATAACATTTCATGAAGCAACTTCTTAAGTTGATTGTTAGCTCTGTCAAGAAATTCCTCTTTAAATCTAATCTGAATCTATTTGTGTTATTTCCACCCATTGATGCTGTAGCTCTCTTCTAAACTTGCTCTAATTTGATATTCCTTTTACAGTGACAATTAGAATAGTGTAAGACAGTTGAATATGGGATTTTTCAGCAAAATAGCTCTTCAGAATATGTTTTCAAATCAACCACGAAATACTTAAAGAAAATTTAAGATTTTGAAGTTTCCAGAATCGAATATTATTGAAAAACTGTGGGATGATCTCAATATGCAGTACTGTATATACAAGGTGTCTTAAGAATGTTTTTGAGGTATCCCAGAAATATTCCAAAAACGAGAACAGTATGATTGGCTCCATTTGGCTAATGGAAAGATTTGAAAGCTCTTGTTTTTGCCCAAGAAGCTGTTACAAAATATTGGCTGAAAGAGTGTGCAAATTTTCAG